ATATAGCATTTAAGGGAAGAACATGTTCCGTGAAATAAAATGAAGTAGAAATTTCAAAGAGAAGAATGTACGTGATGAGAGAAAAAATGAAAGTTTATAATGATCCTTTTCACGTAGCAGACAAAGTGTTTCAAGTCAGTTATTATTATATTGGAGAAAATCTGTGATGATTTCGCTTTGTTATTCTGTTTTGGAAACCCATACAAATTATAGAAAAGTATATAAAAATGCTAAACACTGAAGTAATGTGACAAGTATAAGCATTACTAATCGTTGTATAATATGATGTTTTAGAGGCCCCTACAGGAATAAACTAATTTGATTTTGCAAGTAAGTTTTTAGAGGGAAGAAAAGCAATCTATGTTTACTTAGATACAGTAATAATTTATCTGTGATCTGCTTTATATCAGCTAAATTGGATTTGTTTATAAACCAACTCACATCTTGTTTTGCATAGTTTATTTGCAACAAACATAAAAACACTATAATTCCATATATATATACGTACAAACATGAAATATGGAACTATTTCAAAATGATTGACAAGATAGAACAAGATATAAGCTTGACAATTTTTTTTTGGTTAAACAAAACAAGAACAGTGATTTGGATATTTCTTTCGGATTGTCAGTTCAAACTATTTACCTGAAATTAAGATCTCAATGGTAGATATTTACATCTTGTAATACATAATAAACTCATTTATTCATAGTTCATAAAGCTTATTGATTATTGTGACTCAAAATACATTTCTCTTAAGCACGATGGGAAACATGATAAACAAACTAAATAAATAAGTAAATTTCTAATAGTGATGATATTGAGATTATGAAATTTCTATTAAAAATTCCTGTGGTGTAAATTAAAACAGTATTTAGTCATAAACAGTTAATCTTTCAGTTAGATGTTCATCACTGTTTAATATACAGTAATATTTATAGGTATATCTGAAAAATATTCAATCAATCAAGTCTAACAAATTACACCTTTATTCATAACGACTAATTAGTACAAACTGATGGTATACTATACTATGGTGCAGTATACTATTAGTGATAATAATAATAATAGCCTGAATAAATATTATAACATAGGAGGTAGGATAAAACTAGACAAATTCAGTAAATTTTTCATAAAAGCAAGAGTATCAGTAATCAGCTTCGATATAATAATAATAATAATAATAATAATAATAATAATAATAATAATAATAATAATAATAATAATGAAAAAGCATAGCTGGATTCATAAATACACGCTGAAGTGATAAAACTAGGTAAATTATCATTTAGTTAAATAACGACAATCGGTGACGATAGTCAGTTTAAATAGTTTATTTTTAAAAGTTTTGCTTTACATTTTATGTTCAAATATTGATTCTTGTTATTATTATCACTACTGGTGTAGAATAAGACAACAGACAGAACTAATTTTTTTAGTAATAAATTACAGAGTTTATAGATTACACATACATAGTCTTCGATCATTCATTTGAATCTTAAGGTGTATCCCGCAATCCCGATTTTCTTGTCCATTAGTCTTCAAATATTCTACCTACGCCGTGTTTTTAATATGTTAAAATTCTTCTATCCTTCTGACGACTGTGACAACTTTGAGTCCATGTTATGCTACATACTATTTACAAGAATATATTTGTATAGGGAGGGAGCCAGAGAGGAAGAGCCGAAGTTCATGTATGTAACTTCGATCAATTTGCAGTATCGCACACCTATCTTATGATGTATATGGTAGGTAACTACCTCATACTCAACATTGTTAAACTCTACTGGTCACACCTCAATAAAACTTCGAAATTACCAAACGAGAACATGCTTAGCTATTGTAGAATGCATCCCCAATAACCTAAAGGTCAAACAGAAAGGTGAAACAGAAAGTAATGGATTCGATATCCTGTGATGGGTTCATGGATGTGCACTGATGGGGAGTCCCGTGCTACTATAAAACAGCTATCTAATGCCTTCTTGTTTCTATCAATTGTTTAACTAAGATCGGTTCTTGATATTAACCATAAATCAATTCCATTTAGTAGTTGTATAAAGCTATAAACCTCTGCGTTTCTCACATTTTCAAATGTACACCACTACATCAAATAAAGTCCATTCAATTCTGACACTGAATTTTATCAAGCAGTTAAATGTTCAGCTGGATGAAATCAAATTCGCAATTTTTAAGATTTTGAAGTGGGGAAAAAATTCACCATTCAAACTTATCGCTGATCAATCTATGAAGATAAATCAAAAATTGGACGTTGATGTGAATACCGAATCATTTCATGACTGAAGATTAAAAACACTACTGGTTACTTCATATCCCAGTCTAAAAATTATGGTATACTAAGCACCATAGTTAATTGATAACTACGTTAGTGAATTAGTAAGAAATCTTTAAGAATATGTTAACAAACGGAGTAACTACATAGTTCAAAGTTTTGGTTATTCAATAAAATTACACAAATAATTTGATTTTTTAGGTATGCATGTTAAAATACGGAGATGTATGACCTCCTAGATACATAGGTTAATAGGAATGAATAACAGTGATGGTGCTTAGTGAACAATTTAATTGAAATGGCATGGAAATAACGTATCAAGTGTTCCTAAAATCTTAATTATTTTGGAAATTCCCGTCTAGAAGTATTATAGCTAACGATGTTATTCTATAAACTGAAATTTTATACATAGTTTTGTAATTAACTGTTAGGGAATTTATGACAACAAAATGAATTCCCACTAGCATCACATACGTCTTTATTTACTGATTTAATTATCTTTTTGGAGCTAGTTGCATTTAGTGTTCAAGTAAAAAAGTTTATTATTACATTTAATAGTACGATAGTGCTTGTTGAAACAAGGGATAGACAGAGACAGTGAAGAGCTTTGTCCTTATACAATGATAGTGTATTTGACAGTTATTTATGGAATAATATTCAGTCAACTTCATCTTACAAAACTTCACTTGCATATATAGCCAAAGGCGGATTCATTCGTATAAATGAGTGAAGTGTATGCAAAAATTCATAAGACCTCTTTAGTTCTTTTCTTAATCTATAAGTCTTCAGAATTTTTAGTTAACCCATTCCATAAAATCAATGAATCCCTTCATTGTTATCATATATAACTTAAAAACAATGCTAATCAACTCAACGTTTGATTGATATTGTTTTTTTCCAACGAATATATATATATTAAAGATTCCCATTGTGAAAATTAGAACAACACATATAAGCGAACAATTGTTTTCAATTAGATCGTCATCAGGCTTTACTCTAATATACATGAATATTTATACGAAAATGTTAAACCAATCAAGGCAATATGAGTCAATAATCACAATGAAATAAAATAAGTCTCTAGGTAAAAGTACAAGTTGATAGTAGGAAGACAGGTGAACTGATAATAGTGAGAATAATAAAATACAATAACAAAACTCTTATCAATAATTAAACGTTGGAAATAGAAGGTCAAATAAACATGGGTAAATAGACTAGGAATAGTAATCACAAAACATTAAAATCATTACGTAATAAGATGTGTGTAAATAATTAGATAGTGAAGAATACAAAGAGGCGGAAAATTACAAACAAATAATGGATGTGAAAATAAGGTCAATGATAACACAAATAAAATAAAATGAATAAGGATAATAATAAAATAAATAAATAAAAAGAATTGTTAGTTAAGTTATAACTGGCCATGGAAGGGATAGGGGGGTCACGTATTTCTTCTGTACACATAAATTGGGGTTATATGTACGAATTCCAATGGCTTCCATGGCCAGTTATAACTTAACTAACAATTCTTTTTATTTATTTATTTTATTATTATCCTTATTCATTTTATTTTATTTGTGTTATCATTGACCTTATTTTCACATCCATTATTTGTTTGTAATTTTCCGCCTCTTTGTATTCTTCACTATCTAATTATTTACACACATCTTATTACGTAATGATTTTAATGTTTTGTGATTACTATTCCTAGTCTATTTACCCATGTTTATTTGACCTTCTATTTCCAACGTTTAATTATTGATAAGAGTTTTGTTATTGTATTTTATTATTCTCACTATTATCAGTTCACCTGTCTTCCTACTATCAACTTGTACTTTTACCTAGAGACTTATTTTATTTCATTGTGATTATTGACTCATATTGCCTTGATTGGTTTAACATTTTCGTATAAATATTCATGTATATTAGAGTAAAGCCTGATGACGATCTAATTGAATATATATATATATATATATATATATATATATATATATATATATATATATATATATATATATATATATATATATATATATATATATATATCAATTGAAAGGTTGGCTAAACTGAATTATTCCTTCAATAAATTTCTGTTGTATTTTTAGCTAATGCATGAACAAAAGTAAATGAAAAAGTCAATAAATAAATAAGGCTTGTTTACGTTTAGATATTGTGCACAAGTGTTGATATCATCTTATTTTTCTATGTATCAATAAAATGATAGAAATTAGAAACACATACACATTATTCATGGGAGGAAGAGGGAGAATTAATTTAATTAGTATTATGGTGTGTGCTACTGATGTCGACAGATATAAGTAGTATATATCATCAACCGAAAGTGAAATGTCTGGTGGCAGAAGGTTAAGAAAATCGAGAAGAAAATAATGAGAAAAGAGAATGATTGATGTAAAAATGGAGAAACAATCAAGTAAAATGTACACTATTTGAATTGTCTATTTCATTTTTTTTCTTTTCATGTAAAAGAACAAACGAATTAATTTATCGAACTGATTTCCAGTAAACAAACATTAAATTTATTTGTTATTTTCTTTCATTATTATTTTAATACATCAACATATCGTTAGATAAAGATTCTTCATATCATAACATTTGATCTAACTAACATTGTCCATAAATGAGCATGTTTCCTTTTTTAACATTTATCCCTTATAATTTATCCTGAATGAATATCAACTTATAATTGTACATGTTTATCATTATCTTTTCCTTTGTAAAAAGAATGAAAATAAGTGTAGAGAATATAGGAAATGTTTTAATATGCTTATGGAATAAATGTAATACTACTACTACTACTACTACTACTACTACTACTACTACTACTACTACTACTACCAATAATAATAATAATAATAATAATAATAATAATAATAATAATAATAATAATAATAATAATAATAATAAACTTAACTAGATATTAATTAATGGCTAGTTATTATTGTGTATTGTAATGCTTCATTTCTTTAGCGTTATTGTTGTCTTATGTTGTTGTTGTTGCTGTTGTAAATTACAAGATAAGAAATGTAACTTTGATTAATACCTTGTATTCCATTCATTAACATCGTGTCGTTTTTTTTATAAAAAAAAAGAAGAAATAAAATAGGGCGAAAACGTTACCTAACGATAAACGATAATCAGATAGAACAACCTTACCCACAATATAAACTATTTCAGGTGAAAATTTAAGTGTAAGATACAAGAAGATACAAACGAAGAAAAAAATATTTTAAAAAAAAAGAGGAATCAGATTTTTCATTCCAATATAACTTCTTCATTAGAATAAGTAATTAATCTAAAATGAGAAAAACAAGGGTACATTAGAGATAAGCAATTACAGATAATTATTTTCAATAAAAGATATTGAAACAATCTAGTTAATTAATGCATTTTATATGAAACCTATATGAATAACATAGAAAAAAGATAGTAAAAATAAAGCAAATCAATGTAGCAATAGTCTTTTTTCAACAAAATTAATATATTCAAATTCAGTAACAAAAAATCACAATAAGTAAAGATAGATAGTTGCTATTAATGGAATCTAGCATGCGCGTTTCATCCTATTTGGGATTCGTCAGCTGGATGTAGCTGCATCTCAGAGTTGATATCCACTCTGGAACTCAAACCCAGTATTGTTCATTTCAACTACCATCACGTTATCTACTTAACTACTGAGTTCTGATAGCCACTTGCTCATGTAATTAAGGCAATATCAAGCCAATACGTACAGTATACACATATACCAATAGTGACTAATCAATTGTGGTCCTAAGCATCAACGGGAAGTTTCAGCTAAACAATATCAAATGAATTTAAAAAACCACAATGTTCAAAATTAGGACATTCGTGTTTGCTTTTAGAGTATTGAAATGATACATTTTTCCTTAAGTATGAAAATATATGAATTACTTACAATTGATTGATCACTGGGTGGTGATCAATGTCTTGCTTGTCTAGTCCTTATTAGTGCAGATCGAATGCTATCGATCATGTTGCAATGTGGCCACCAGTCTAGGTGACTCGACACTGTGGGCACTATGTATTGAGATTTAGATGGTGCTTGGAGGTAGTCAACAGGAAACCCTGGACCCGGGTTTCGTTCTATTTGGCACTCGTCAGCAAGGTGTACCTGTAATCTTGAGGGAACTGGTGCTCCCTGGCGGATTCGATCTCGTGTCTTATCATGAAACCTGAAGGTTTTAGGTAGGAATCTGTGTAAGATTGTGGTGATGTATCATTGTGAAGGTCAAAATGTTAAGACGAATGTTATCCAATTCTCCGTCAATTTTTCACTATATCATAAGTTGTTACCAATTTGTAACGGAAATTTATTTCATAATAAAGAATTTTCATGGATATTTTTTCGCTTCATATTAAACTTATATGTTGTAATATTGACTTTAAGGTTACTAGTTAAATTACAAGTTTTAATGGGTTGATTAGATTATATTTATCAAATTATTCAAATCCTACTGTAAAAACTGAATCAATGTTTGTTATATCCCGACGAGATCATTCCAGAATAACATAAATTTTTCAGTTCACTAGCATCGGCTGTTTGAATTTTACCATTAATGTTTCGGACTGCAACTGATCATTCCCTTTTGGCATGTGTGCGTCTTGTATGAATCGTCACAATAATGTCACTAAGTCACAAGCATTTTAAGCATGGATATTTGATGACTAGTAGTGGAATCCAAGATGTGTATTTCATCCTAATTGGGAGTCATCATCTGGTTGATGCACCGGTGTTTGGAGTAAAAGTCATTGTATTCAAATCCCAGAGTGATCATCAACTCTGTGATGTAGGTGCATTAAACTGATAAGTCCAGAATAGGACAAAATGTATATCCTGTTTTATACTGCTAGACAACATCTATCTCTGCCTAAGACAAATATTTGTTCTTTGTCAGATAAATTATAGTACGATTCACTTCAAATGTCAGAATAAACATTCTTACTAGATAGGAATTGATATAGATATGAAAATATAAAAAAAAACTTTAATAGATTGGCAAGAATTACAATAAAATAGACTTTGGAAATTGTTCAACATTCAAGGGAAATATATTTTAATAAAGTTAACATCAATAAACAAACATAAATGATAGACGATATTCTCATAAAAATCCAAATTAACTTCTTGTTAATTAAAACAAATACCCTTACTGCATTCTATTATAGAAATCTAACAAAGAGTTGGAATTCCCAACTATCTACTGTCGTAGTTTATATATAATTAATTTGGATTAGTGTATAAAACATTATACCTTTTTTCGGGATCAACAAATTTACCATTAAATAAAGTCAAGTTTTTTATTATTAGAAGGTATTTAATTATCATTATATCTCAATACTGCATTGTTGATCTAGTAGGAAGGACTTAAATATTTCTATTGTCTTATTCTGTAGTTTGAATTATTGTTTTCACTCTTACATTCTGATGCAAACCGAGAACTCGTAACTCCAGTGGTGACAGTTGCTATTAAATTATTTTAATACATTAATTAGCGATTGCATTACAATCATAAATAGATCTATGTTAGCGTACCACTGAAAATATGGAAACACTTGATGTCCGTTTCGTTCTAGCATGGGACTCCTCAGTAGTATCAATCCACTATCCTTCAACAAGGAACTGAAGTTGGGACATTCGGTATCTCAAATGAACGCTTAACCTCTAGACTACTGAACCGGCATCCAACGCCGTTTATTTCTAACACCAATTTGATTTAGATCAATTCATGATTTCAACGAAATTCAGCAATCTCCACAACCTCATACTGAAAATTAGTTATTTTCCAGATTTGAAAAGACCTAACTTACCTTTTCTATCCTTGAATAATTTCGTATAAATATGACTGAAGCGTGATATTATTGTAGTGGTGATATAGGTTAGGTTCATATGATTCGTATAGTAGCTTCTAACCTTATATCTACAAGGAGAGAACACATTACCATTTAAGATACATTTGACAATTTCATTAAATACGTATAATACAAAGACATGATGGATAAATCCCATCTGCAAACACTAAAAATTGAGGCTGGTGAATTTTATAAGCGTTTAAAATCCTGAAAACTAATATATATTATGATTAATAATAATACCAAAGATAATAGCTTTATTCATTATTGTAAGTTTTGGTACATTTTTAATGCCTCGAAGATCTGACTCCGATTATGATGAACAAATGAATACGCCATGAATATAATTCTTTGATTTAATTTCGTATAATTCACTTAGGCTAACCCCGTTTGAAGCTAAATATGGACTAGGTTGAATAAACATACCCCAGGTATTCGATTACTCAAACACAAATTATTATAAGAAGTAGGAAATGGAGGTGAAACGTAGAAGACAAGCTTGCCAACCTCATTCGATGTTGAATGACTCACTATGTATAACCAGACAAAAATAAGCTCAAGACATATGATGAATAGGGTAAGCGAGTTATACATATACGCTAATATAAAAAAAGTCAAGGTTGTAAACGAGTAATTAACAAGGTCAAAACGTGACACAAGAAGAATAAATCAATTGGTCTGTCTGAAAGTTAAAATAACATTGTACTAGATACCATACAGTAATCAATCCTTAATATCAGTTTTATGATGTTGCAATAGCCTTGACCTGAACATACATTCAAAGTATAATTATACAACATTTATGTGTTATAAATATTTTTAAGTGTTCAGTATCTTCAATGGCTAATTTCATTTTAAATCCAGTTCCTACAACTGGTTTTTTCATCTGTTAAATATAGCATGCAACAATTCCAATAGAATAAACGGAGAAATGAATATGCCAACATATGAAGTGTTCCGGTTTAAGATTTTCAGTATTTACTATTGCAATAGGTTACAAATTTTTCATAATATTGAGTGAGTATACACAGTTAGAACTTGTAATTATTCTGTCCAAAAAAAGAGAAATGTTCACTATAATCAAGGATGGATAGTGGGAGTCGTCCCAAATAGGAAGAAACGCGCGTCCTGGATTCCACTACTACTCACTATCCATCTTTACTTATAATGCTTGTGAATTAAGGCAATACGCACAGCATGTACATATGCCAATAAGAGATTGATCAATTTCAGTCCTAAACATCAATGGAAAGATTCAAGTATACAATACCAAAGGTTAATTATAATATTTGCAGATTTAAAAAATAAATAACTCAAACGTTTGAGCACTCAACCTTAATGCTGATCATAATTATTTACCAACTAAATTACGTGTACAATTTTATTGTTCATGAAGTATTTAAAATAAAAATAGGAAATAAAATCAACACAAGAAAATATCTGAACTTTGCGTTATACTTTAGAAACTCATCGAGTGCCATCAACGCAATGAGTTAATCTTCGTCTTCTTATTACATTATCGTAATATATAAATCGTACAAAACTAAATTTACTGTTGAATCATATTTACAACGAATTGGTTTAAATTATACATAGAAACATTTTTAACGATCATTCAAACGTGTCATTTTCAGTCCCATAATTAATGAGAAAGATAGGTTCAGCTAAGAGTTCTCTTTTCGGTGAATTTATTTTCAAAGCTGTACAATAGCAAATAGATAAACCTTTTTTTCTGGATGATAATAATTACAATGATAATAACCTTCTGTTAGACAGGGTGACAGTGAAGTAAGATGAACAAAGGTATTAAAAAACATTTTTTAATGGTGATAGTGTCTAAAATCAACCAATCCACGAAACTGTTAGACACTATCACCATTGGATGCAGGCCCAGTGGTCCAGTAGGTTAAGCGTTCGCGCGTGAGACCGAAAGCCCTGGGTTCGAACCGTGGGTGTGCACTGCTGAGGAGTCTCACAATAGGACGAAACGGCCTTCCAGTGCTTCCAGGTTTCCAAGGGTGGTCTAACATCAATCAGTTTATGATC